GAGAGAGAGAGAGAGAGAGAGAGAGAGAGAGAGAGTTTTTGCACCTTGCTTTTTGGCATACTTAGATCCAGCCGGGCCGGGCCTCGCAAGGCCCAACAGTAGGGTTAGGGGTTTCGTAGGGTTAGGGTCTGTGTCACGTGGAGGACCAGCAGGCCACCGTCTGGTTTTTGCGGTCTTCCCACTTTTGGCATCGACCACACCTTATGCAAATTGGCGCCAAACTTTTCGTATTTTTGCCTGGTTCCTACTTTCTGCAAATCGGCGCCAGACTTTTCGTATTTTTGCCTGGCCCCTACTTCTTGCCATTTTTCGTTTTTGGCGCCAGAACAAACTTCTGTTCTTGGCGCCAGACCATTTTTTCTTTCGACTAGACTGTTTCCTTGTGACGTAGGACACTAGGCCTAGTATATATATAGCTGGGTCGACCTCATTTCTAGGCAGGTAGTTCATCAGGCAGTTCACTGAGGTAGTGCTAGGCGCTTCTTAGTGGTAGCTCTGAGGTAGTTGCGAGGCGCAAGGCCTCGGTAAGGCCTACTGGGCCCTGTTATCCACAGTGTCGGCCGCCCTAAGTGAAGGCAGGCCCGACCAAGGACAAGAGGCCTATTTCCAGCTACCCCGCAATTGGGGGAAATTCAGGCAGTTGCACAGCACCAGTTGGTTGAGAGTGCCCTGGCCCTGGCTGCCTTTTTCTAATGTAACTGAGGCAGGCCCTGGGCCAGATACGCAACATGGGCTGAACGCAGGCTGCAGGCAGTTGAACACGGGTAACCACTCCAGGCCCTGGGCCTGACTCCCTGGACCGGGGCTCGGCCACTTGGGGCCTACCGGAAGCTTCTGGGCAGGGGCCCAGCGCAGCTAGGCCGCATGCAGCAGGCAGGCCACTTCCATATAGGAAAGTGCCCGCCCCCGCATTTGGCATTCGGGCACTAGTTGCATGTTGCGCTCATCGCTGGCCAGCGCCCACGCTCTCACGGGCGATCAGGAAGAGCAGGCAACCATAGCCGAGCTGCCCTGTGCTATGCTGGATGGGGCATAGTGGTCCTTGGGTGCACGTGGCATCTGTGTGTGGGGGATCGAGGTTGTGAGTGATGCGAGAGACATACCTGGTGCTTGAGGCGAACGCCATTGGCCTAGATTTGCTCGTACTTCGAGGAGCTGTTGACATCACCAACGACATTGTAGATAGGCTATATCGGATCTGCCATTTGTAGTCTGGGCGCAGGGCGCCACATAGGAGATCGACATTGGTTCTTTGTTGATGATGATGAGACTATTCCAACATTGTCACTTATGAGCTTTTGTTGTGTTCTTATTTGGTGGAACTCGAGTTGCAATTCGGCTCTTGGTTCGAGGTCATGACTACCTGGTTTCATGTGTATGAAGCTGCTTGGTTTCTAGAATTCGCTATCGCTCATTTTCCTTGCATTTTGGTATCGGAGTTATGGTACGTTGCGCTAATCTAGCGCTTGTCTTCTGCCTATGCGGTACATGCACGTGGTCAGCTGGGTGAGCGGTCGTGGGAGGTGTGTAGTGAGGAGGGCACGACAAGCAGGCGACCCAGGTGGAGAGGGGAATCGCCAGGAAGGCTATGAGATGATATTGGGTCTTCGCAGTGTGACGAGAACTATCTGATGTGCGATTGATGCTGATGTGGAACAGTGGTGTAATGCTGGTTGTGCCGAAGCAGCGATTGGTCATCACAATCGACATCGGGTCATTCGGTGAGAATATATGTGGTTGGGGGCAGCTATTTTGAGGTACGTTGCTCTTAACCTTATCTACCCTCTTCGACACTTCTTACCACGAGGATGTGTGTTATGTCTTGAGAGTCCTCTCATGTGAGGAGTCGAGTGCACTCACCCTTGAGAGTCGGCATTGTTCACCTGGAGCATCTGGAAAGAGAGGGCTGAGCTATCTGAAGGGCCCTGGACGAAGCACTGGGTCACGGTCACCATGCCAACCCACCAGGAGTAGAGCAAGCATGCTTTGCTGCTTTGTCCTTTTTTTTTTTTTTTTTTTTTTTTGAATCAACCCGACTGGATGCTAGGTGTGCTGA